GTACTTAACCCGAGGTACCACTGTATATTGATGGAATATTATCCTTCCTCACTCACGCTAGTGAGCTGGTAGCACAGCACGTCCCCTGTATATCACAGAAAGCTAGTTGAATCTCTTGAGTTAAGCAATCCAGTCTGGCTTGTCCAGATTGGATTGTTCCTGGTAAATTCCCCTTTATTCCCTCTTAAAACCAGCAAAGACACAACAGTCTTCTCTTAAAAGTAAGAAGAAGTTTACTTACATTCAATTCACAGTATGATCCCAAAGGCAGGCTTTAGCTTCTAGTTACAGAAGAGAGTGTGGGTTCATCCCATGTGGGAATGAGCCCATGGGCTGCTGGCTGAGAGCCAGCAGACAGCAAAAGCACATCAAGAGGGAATAAAACCAGGAGTAAGCATGGATTGCTGGGACACGGGTGGTGCTGTGGGTTAAACCACAGAGCCTAGGACTTCCCGATCAGAAGGTCGGGGGTTCGATTCCCCATGACGGGGTGAGCTCCCATTGCTCGGTCCCTGCTCCTGCCAACCTAGCAGTTCGAAAGCACGTCAAAGTGCAAATAGATAAATAGGTACCACTTTGATGGGAAGGTAAACGGCGTTTCCATGCGCTGCTCTGGTTCTCCAGAAGTGGCTTAGTCCTGCTGGCCACATGACCCAGAAGCTGTACGCCGGCTCCCTCGGCCAGTAAAGCGAGATGAGCGCCGCAACCCCAGAGTCGGTCACGATTGAACCTAATGGTCAGGGGTCCCTTTACCTTTTTAAGCCTGGACCAATGGTACCAAATAGTATGGGAAACAGCCTTACTAGAAAAATTAATCAATCAACTGAAACTGACATGGGGACAAATAGAAGAAGACGCCTTCACCCCGGTATGGCTCCCCTTTATCACACACACAGCCCAACAAGACAATGACAATAATCCACCAACAGCATACAAATCAATATGGCTAACCTGATCCAAAACACCCACCCACCCCACTCACACACGAAAACAAAGACCACCACAGCCAACCACAAACGAACAACCACACTCTCAGCCAACCCCAACCTCTCTCACCACCAAAGGAACACAAGTGAACAGCAGAGAACCTGCACAAGCGACACTGACACAAAACCCCACATATATTAGTAAAATAGAAACATCACCACCTGACCCCACCCCCACCCATCTTCCCCCCTTCCACTCTTTCCCCATTTTCTTCCTAAGGTCTCAACAAATGAAACTGATTTGTAAAAAAATGTTACATGGGGAAAAATACGAAAGGGAGACATTGCACATACCTTTGTAAATCAAGAAAATCTTTAATGAAAATACATTTTAAAAAGGAATAAAACGAAGAAGGGAAGATGGCTGCGTGACCAGCCCTTTCATGGGGTCTGCCAGGGTCAGGCCCATCTACCTGGTTGTTATGTACTGAGTTGAATAGGATCCAAAATGCAGCAGTCTGATTGGTCCTAGAACAATAGGATTCAGATTGCAGCAGTCTGATTGGTCCACAGGAGCCACCCAATCCAGCTCCAGGTGGAAGTGAATCCACAACCTGATTGGCCTACAGGAGAATCCCGGAATTAGCCAATCATGTGGGGCCCATTGTGTAAATAATGTATATAAAGCAGACATTCTGGGGGAACTTCCATTTCCTCCTCACCACTATGAGCTGAATGAAGAGCATGAAATCCGCTCTCGACTCCGAGTATATGGTCCGCGCAGGGGGAGGATGCTCCAGACCAGGTGTGACAGGAAGTCCTTCTGGCTGGAGCAACATCCCCCTCTGTGTCCACTCTGGGAAAACAGGAAGTGTTGTACTTGACTGCTTACATGATGTTACATCCCAGGATTTCAGGGATGAAGGAGCCTCTTTGAGTCCTACCTGCAGATGCCAGCGAAGAATGAAGCACCTGCAGTGCTCTGTCACTGAGCAACGGCCCTTGCCGTCTGCAGAGATGATGGGGGGGGGGCACAGGACTGCTCTTCTCCAACCCAGATCCCTGGATTCTTTCTGCTGTGCTATCTTCATAATTTAATTAACTAATCAAGAGGATTGATATACTGCTCAACCATCAAGACTTCTAAGCAACCTATATTTTTTAAAAAATCTGATTAACAGGGGTAGTAGTCAAAGAGTGCCTCTGAGCATATGCAGAGTGTGTTTGCACCTGTTGACTTCCTGCACACTGAGGCTGCCCTGGTGCTTCTTCCTGGAAATTCCCCGTGGCGCAGCTGATTTCTGCAGGCTCTGTTGCATGACCAGGGAAGATAAGGACACCATCGTGTAAGACGACCCCTGGTGGATCAGGCCCATGGCCCATCTAGGCCAGCAACCTGTTCTCACCATGGCCAATCAGGTGCCCAAAAGGAAACCAGCAAGCTGGATTTCAGCACCTGCCTGTGGATTCCAGAGACTGGTGTTCGGAAGCATGAATTTATCCGTCCATGAATTCATCTCATCCTCTTTTCAATCACTTTTGTGTGCCTCCTCTGCAAGAGGTATCTGGAAGGCAGCAACACCAGAAAGGGCCTTTTCTGTGGTGGCTCCCTGCTGGTGAGATGCTTCCCCAGAGAGGCCCAGCTGGTGCCTTCTCTACGTATCTTTAGCCACCAAGCAAAAACCTTGCTCTAGAACCAGGCCTTTGGCTGATTAACGCTCTATGCCCTTTAAAAGGTGTGGGTTACTGGCTTGTTGATTTTATTGATTGTATTGATTTTATTACGTGTTTTGGGTTCTCATTACATATTTTTATGTTTATAAACTGCCCTGTGATAAGGGTGGTATAATAATAATAATAATAATAATAATAATAATAATAATAATAATAATAATATATTTTAAAAGCCATCCGACTGGATGCCTGCGCTGCCTCCTGTGTGAGTCATTGCCATAGTTTAGCTATGCACAAAGAGGAACTTTATTTTATTTGTCTCGAAGGTTCTCCCTCCGCCCAGGACCCTCTTCCTGTCTCTCCTCCTCCTCCTCCTCCTCCGCCTGCTGCTGGAGCTCATGAAATCTGCGCTCCGCGCGGCCTCATTTATCTCTGCCTCTTTTCCCAGGGGCAGGAGGAGTTAATAACAATAAAAGTGGCCCCCTCTCGCTGCCTGCAGATTTACTGTTATTTAATCATGACCTTTTGTGGGGAGCCAAGGCCGGAAGGCACATCGGGGGTTAAGCACCAGGCGCCAAAGGTCAACATCTCCTTTCATCCTTCAAGTCCCACAGGGCGGGGGGGGGGAGCTGGAAGAGGGAAATAATCTGCACTGTGAATCTATGCCCACTCCCGAGGGGGCACACTCTGCCCAGGCTGGGGAGCAGGCAGAATGTCCTCGGTGCAAGCTTTATTCTCACACTCAAACCCTCAACGTTGTCTAAGAACGTGGCAGCCGCCTGATTCAAAGGAAAGGTGGGTCCTTCTCCTCCAGAATCTGGTTCAGCTGCCTCTGGGCAGCCCACAAGCAGAGCACAGAAGCAACCAAAGGCATGGAATAAGAGAGTTGCAGAGCCGGAAGGGACCCCAGGGTCATCTAGTCCAACCCCCTGCAGCGCAGGAATAATAATTGGAGAATTTCCTTCAGAAACATCGCTGCTTCTGTTTGTGGAGGCAGAAAGCATAGCCGTCCTGCTGGCAGCCACCCAGTATGTTTCCCAGCACAATTCAAAGTGTTGGTGCTGAACTTTAAACCCTAAACGGCCTCAGTCCAGGATACCTGATGGAGCGTCTCCAACCTCATCCTTCTGCCCAGTAACTGAGGTCCAGCTGCAAGGGCCTTCCCTCCCTGCGATAAGCCATTACAGGGAACCAGGCAGAGGGCCTTCTTGGTGGTGACACCCACCCTGTGGAACGCCCTCCCTTCAGATGTCAAGGAAATAAACCACTATCTGACTTTCAGAAGACATCTGAAGGCAGCCCTCTTTAGAGAAGTTTTTAATGTTTGATGCATTACAGTTACAGATAGGTAGCCGTGTTGGTCTGCCATAGTCAAAACAAAAAAAATTCCTTCC